GTGCGAAGCCAAAATCGCCTACTTTTAGTTAAAGTGATTGACGTCACTACATAAATTCTAATTAGATTTGATATCCTTAATGACCGGATAATTCTCTACTGTTCCAATTTAAAAGCTTAGAACTTAATCTTATAATTTTTTTACTAGAAGACGTCGATATGCAAAACCTGACCTGACATGTAGAATTAAGTCGCTCCCCTTATGATTCAGCAGAGCTGAAAAATTGATGCAGATGAAAGATAGAATTGCTATAAATTTATTGCGACAAAATTTATTCCTTCATTTCAAGCGCGCTATTTTCTTTAATGTCATGCAAAGGGCACGTTCATTCGCCGGGAATAGGTCTTAAAGTGATCCAGTGTTGTGAAAGCCTAGAAAAAAAAGATATCAAATATATATAAATCCATAGACATTGTTTGCAGGGATAGAATTTCGAGCTTTTCCTCATTTGTCTCGTTAAAAAAGTTTGTTCTTCATTTAAGTTTCAAATGCTAGCACCAAGGGAATTGGTGTGTGCACCAACAAAAAAATATGAAAAAATTTCGGGCGCGTTCGCGCTCGACAAGAGCAATTTCTTTTCACGTAGTTATTTTTGTTGCGTTAGTTTGGTTGTGCGGTTCCTTCACTGGAAAATGTGCAAAGCCAACAAAAGCAGCCGCAAATGTGCCGGCCGAAAGTATTTTCTGTCCGAAGATTTAGCCAATTAATCTGAACAACTGAACAACACATAAATAGCGTGCGCAACCGCAAATGCCGGAAGTTGGCGCATGCGTATACGTTTTGCCGCGGTGTTTCTGTTAAGTATTATTTATCATCCTGATGTCAAAATGTTGTAAGAACAATAAAGTGACCCATGAGGTGAAGGTGAGAGTGTCACTGATGCTCTTACCGCATATTGACATCCTCTCTAACATATGACTGAGTAGACCCATGGCAACATAAATTCATCTTGGTCTATATGATAACAAAGAAAAACAGTATGTTAATGACGAGGTCATCTAGGCGTCTATCCTGTAATACATCATACGAGAGAATTACCTACAGATGAATGGATCCATGCAACTTTTTTTCCAAGAAAGACTGAAAAAATAGGCTGACACCAACAGTGTCAAAAATTATTTCTTATTCATACAGAATAAAGTTCGTGCACGCGAGTTGCGCGAACGCATTTTTGATCGCTCAGCGCTGATTCAGATGTTTCTGTCTAACTATGCTTAATCCGTCAGTTAATTCGCCTAAAAAAGAGAGTGAAAGCCCCCAATTCGAAATTGCTGCTCGGAAGAAAACTTTCGAAGATTTTCAGAGTTCTCTTAAACGTAGCATGATCGATGTTTATGTCTCTAGCAATGACGGCGAAGTGCGTCGGCTGGCAATATTTCAGCAAGGGACTTTGAATATCCTGCAATTCTATGGCAATTCGTACGATGACCCTCGCCAGGAAGCGGACAAAAGTTTGCAACAGCTCTGGTCTCTCCTGTGTAAAGATCCCGGCTTAGTCTCCCTGAAAGAAAAGCTAGTGAGTTTTCCTCCGACACAACTATACTATGTTGAAGCCTCTTTCAAGCTGCAGGAGTTGAAATTTCAATTCAAGATATCGATATTGGTGATCACACTCCCACCAGAAGGGCCACTCCTGGCCCGAGACTAGTCGTGTGCAGGATTACTCGAAGGATTGCCGAAGAAAGGTTATAAATGCACGGAAAGATGCTTCAAAGATTATAGCTTCTTCAATTGGTTTACGGGCCGATTGTACATTAGAAAACGCGAGGCTTTTTTAATCATTCAACTAACATTGCAGGTCCAATAACTCCTGGCAGATCCAAAAAAACTCAAATTCGTAATGGCTTCAGGTTACCTCGAAAGATTTGCTCAACAGGGGAGCCTAATACCCGTAATTAGGTACTCTGAAATTTTTAACTTAATCTGTAATTCAATGTGTTGTTTCTATGATGGCTGATGAGACATCTTCTTATCTCACCACCCTTTAAATCGCTAGGGGATAGTTTTTTTAATTAAGCAATTTATGAATATTCTCATGGTTCCCTGAGTTACAACGGCGATCGTCTTCAAACATTTTAATTTAACCCTGTTGAACGGCTTCAATCTTTTAAATTCGCTTTCTAGTTATCTGAATCTTGACTCCAACTTTGTCACTCGTTTGCCCAACAGTGGCTATATGGTTAAGGAAGATCTAAACATTAGGGTAACTTCTTTTCGGCCAGCTAGTAACAAAATAATGAATATAACCGTGTTAGAAGACAAAAATAGCTTTCTCTAAGATTAATATTGAATCGCTCTTAGATTCCTGTTGTTCTACCGCCCTTCACGCAAGTTAACTGATTATAAATTCAGTGCGGAGGATGAAAAATAGAAGTTTTGGACACTTATGGTCACCTTGGAAGAAAGAAGTGTTGAACGTGCGAAATAAAAAATAAAGAATTATTTTCCTGATTAGGAATTCGACATTGGATTAACCAAAACAGCAGCCTTTGAAGAATGAAATGGCTATAGTATAATAGCCGAAAGCTCATATCTTAAAAACCTTTTTAACCAGAGAACGTTTTTTTTACCTTTTTCACTAAGAATGAAAGTGTCGCTAAATCGGATTTGTATTACAATTGAAAGCAGCTTTGGAACGGTCACGTTTGGGCATTTATTTGAATTTTAGATTTAAATTTCATAAATGCTTTTGAAGGCTGATATATAAATTATTTAGTTTCTAGAAACAGTTCTCTTTTAACAGTTCGAAAATTGATTAGAGAGGAAAGAAAAAAAATGGGCAAGATGTACGTTCAGCTCCAAACTTCGTTTTGGTAAAAGAAACTATGGCGAAAACAACAGAGTTGCCTTTAGGACTAATGCTTTGTTTAAGAATAGCATAGGGGTTACACAGAAACCTCTCCGAAAATAGCAACAGAGCCTGCCTGTGTATTGAAATACCATCAACTCCACTTACACGTTAAACAAAAAGGTCTACCTTTCAGACAGTGGAATCTCACACTTTTCATAAAATGCCGTTGATTTTGCACCCCGTAACCTTTTTATGCGTTTGTTTCTGACAAATCAGAAGCGTAAGATAAGAATCATGGTCGGGTAACCGCTCCTATGTTTTTTATTCTTGCTCAGACCTCCCTCGGCCCTTCCCGATGCTGATAAGATAAATGTGTGCTCTCAAGACACACGTCAATACAGCTCAACTCAACCACACGAACCGAGGAGAGGAAGATTTCGCTCTCGCGTCATGTCCTTAGCCATGCCAACTCTTCTTTTGATGTTCGTACTGGATTTTGCCGCAATCTTTTTCAACGGACTACTGCTACTGAGCTGCTTCAGACATGAAAAAAAATACAGATTTTTCAAAAAGTGCTGGATACTTTTAGGTCTTCAGGTCGCTTGCCAAGTTGTAATTCTGGTCGCGGATGCCGTGGAATGGTGGAATGGTTTCCGTATTCAAGCTACGGAATCCTGTAATGTCTTGA